TACCCTTTTGCTACCAACCTTGCCTTGTACCTCTCTATCTTGCCATCGGCCTTATACTTCACTGTGAATACCCATCGACATCCGACTGTCTCCTTGTCTGGGGGGAGATCAACTATTTCCCAAGTTTGGTTTTTGACCAAAGCATCCATCTCATCTTGCATGACTGTTTTCCACTCAGGTTTGGAGAGAGCCTCAATAACATTCCTGAGTATACACACAGAATCCAGGGAAAAAAGAAAAGCATGGTAGGAGGGTGATAAGGCACTATAGGAAATATGGTGTGAAATGCCGTGTGTTGTACACTTTCTCTTCCCCGTGCAATGGGAAGATCAAGGTTAGTCGGATCAGATGCAACAATGGTGTTAGGGACAGAAACATTATCATCAGAAAACATAACAAGCTCAGGCTCAAGAGGAATACCTGGAACTGTATCTGCCGAATCTGGAGTTTTAGAAGGACTGACAGAGAGTGGTGTGGGTYGAGGATGTGTGGAGTCAACCATCATCTTTCGGCGCTAATATTGTTGTGAGGCTGCCCGTAGTGGCTCAGGTAATGAAACTAGAGGTGCAGGTGCTGGCTGAACTGATGGTGCAGGTGGTGGCTAAACTGATGTAGATGCTGGCTGAACTGATGGAGGCACCACAGAAACAGGAAGAGGAATAGATTGTGAGTTCTTCTCCCCAAAACTCTCCCCCTAAGGAGAACCACTCGATATGAAGAATGTGGATTCAAAAAAGGTAACATCCATAGTGACAAATATGCTCATCGGCATTGGGTCATAACAGCAATACCCCTTTTGGTTCTGAGCATACCCAAGAAAAACACATTTCTTGGCCTTAGGATCCAATTTCTTGCGATGAGRGCCAAGAATGTGAACAAAAGAAACACAACCAAAAACCCTCTGAGGTATATGAAATATCTCTCCATCTGAAAAAGAAGGCTAAACGGCACCTTAAACCCCAAAGTCCGTGAAGGAACACGGTTAATCACATGTACAGCTGTAAGAACTGCATCTCCGCAGAACTGCACAGGAACTAAAGCACACACCACAAGACTCCTTGCCACCTCCACAATGTGTCTGTTTTTCCTCTCAGCAACTCCATTCTGTTATGGTGTATATGCACAACTGCTCTGATGAACTACACCATGTTCTAAGAGATACGTGGTTAGGTCCTCGAAGTACTCTCTGGCATTATCTGATCTAAAAGCCTTAGTTCTCACTCCAAATTG